CCTGAGAGATCCCAGAGGACTCTGTGGCAGGGAAATGAACTATGGCTTGGGTGCTTGACCCCCAGACTGGCCCAACGAGCCGTCTCCAGGCTTGGAAAGATTGTTTGACCACAGCATGACCACTAGACTTGCTGGCCTCCAAGTGAAACCTGCTACATGGTGAAATCCATGTTTACCAACATTTATCAGTAAAAATCTAATCCTTCCAAGACTAGCTATTTAGACCACTGGTTCTCAACCTTTCTAGACTACTGTGCCCCTTTCATGAGTCTGATTTATCTTGCATACCCCAGTTTCACCTCACTTAAATTACTTGCTTACAAAATCAGACATAAAAATACAAAAGGGTCACAGCACTCTATTACTGAAAATTTGCTTACTTTCTCATTTTTACCATATAATTATAAATCAATTGGAATATAATTACTGTACTTACATTTCATTGAGCAGTATATAGGGCAGTATAAACGAGTCATTGTATGAAATTTTAGTTTGTACTGCCTTCAATGTAGTCTGTTGTAAAACCAGGCAAGTTTCTAGATGAGCTGATGTACACCCTGGAAGACCTCTATATACCCTCAGGGGTACAAGGACCCCTGGTTGAGAATCACTGATTTAGAACAAAGAATAGAATATAGCAACTGAGAACACAAACTTCACAACATGCTTTCGCTCCACAGAAAACATGAATTCCATAAAATCCTGCAAGCTACACCATGGGAATTCTACACCTGTCAGAGGACATGTCAGATGAGGAGGAAGGATTGTCCAATGGTTAGGGCACTAGACTGGGATTCAAAAGACCTGAATTCAATTTACCATGAGCCACAGATTTCCTGGTGTGATCTTGGGTAAGTAAATCTTTGTATCTCAGTCTCCCATTTGTAAAATGGGTATAATACAGTGGTCCCCAAACTGTGGGCCTGCCCCATAGCAGGGCACAGAAGGATGTCCGGGGGCACAGTGGGCCCAGGCCAGCTTCCTGGGAGCGGGGAGAGAGTGCCACCCAAACCCACTCTGCCCCCAGTTCCGCTCCAGACTCCGTCCCAGCAGCCCAGACACTAACAGTCCGGTTACCCAGTAGGAGAGGCACAATCCTAGTAATAACAAATTCTTTTTGTTGAAGTTTTTGCCATGTGATGCTTAGAAAAATATTTACTTCTGAGGTAAGAATGGAGCTTCCAAAAATAATTTCTTTATGTTTTAAGTCCCAGAAAATACACCACACACTGCCCTCTTGATTATGCAGAGCTTTTAGAACCACAAACACACAGTACAGTAAGTTGGAAAACCTCTGACACCACTTCAGCTTTTGTATGTTCTCCACACTACAGAAGAGGGTGTGAAAAGAAATCAATACATTAACATCTGCCAAAAGAAAGAGCAGAGTCAATTTCACAACATAACTGAATACAGCCAGCAGGGCATGGGGGTGGGTTCTATTCTTATCAGTTCTAAAGGCTTTCAAATGCAAAAGTAGGCCACAATGTGAGTGTATACAACTATGGAAGTGATGAGATTTGTGCAAGGGATCTTTCAAACGTAAATCTGCACAAAGCTTGATCAGCACTGAAGCTCTGTATGAAAAGAGTGTAATACTCCTGAATGGAATACAGATTTTAAAAATCAATATTTAATGCACATACTGTATGTAGGGGCACCAGGGCCCCATCCCTTTCCCCACAAAAGCCCTGCTCCCCTGGCCAGGCCGGCAGCTGGAGCCCAGGCAGCTGTGGGGTGCCACGCCACGGACCCTCCACTTGACCGGCGTCGGGGAGTGGAGAGCAGCCCCCAGCCCATGTCCCTGCCCCCGCCCAGGGCAGGAGGGTCTATGGCTCCCCAATTCTGCCCATGCGCAGCTTTTACCTGGACCCGGTACTGGCTAGGGGGCTGCAGCTCAGCCATGGTAAGAGCCGCACGGGCAGCTGTGGGGAGTCACGCCGTGGACCCTCCACCTGCCCGGGGTGGGGACACAGGCCAGGGACTGCTCTCAACCCCCCTTCACCCTGGGGAAGTGGAGGGTCCGCGACATGGCTCTTACCATGGCTGGGCTGCGGCACCCAGCTGGAGCCAAGTCAGGGTAAGAGCCACGAACAGCTGTGGAGAGTCGCAGATCCTCCTGCCCTGGGCAAGGGGTCTGGGGACAAGGGCTGGGGGCTGTTCTTGGCCCCCCCACCCCAGGCAGGTGGAGGGTCTGTGGCTCCCAGCCCGCTGCGGCTTCCGGCTTGGCCGGAGGTGGGGCCTCAGGCAGAAGAGGAGGGGTGGGGAGCCATGACCCCTGACCCCCCCCCCCACTTTTGGGCAGGCTCTGCAGCCCTTGACTTTATGTACAGTTATTTTCTCATGTGAACAATTAAGAATAGTGTACAGTGAAAATTTGTTAAGGTCACTGGTTTAAGTGTTTGCCATAATAATGAAATGCCTTATAAAAATTAATGAATTTATCCTCACAACATCTTTATGAAGTAAGGAATTATTAACCTCACTTTACAGATGGAGAAACAGACACAAAGATTAAGTGACTTGAAGGTCACACAGGAAGTGTGGCAGAAACAGAAACTGAACCCAGATTTCTTAAGTCTGGATCCAGTGATTTAACCAAAGGTCATCCTTCCACTCCTTAGCAGGATATTGAAAGTACCAAACAAGTTGTTTCCAGTGGTAGCATGGGAAAATGATAAACTGTGCAAGGCAAATTTCAACTTGTTAACCCCTCAACCCACCCACCGCCATCTTTAATATTCTTTTCCTTTTAGCAATTCTCTGTAACTGAAAAGGTATGTTTCAAGCTAGCCTAGGAGAGGCACTTGCCCAAACCCTAGTTATAACTGATTCTTTTTGTTAAAGTATTTGCCATGTGTTGCTTAGAAAAATATTTACTTCTGTGGTAAAAATGGAGTTTTCAGAAATAATTTCTTTATAAGTACAGTATTAAGTCCCAGAAAATACACCCCACACTGCCTCCTTGATTATGCAGAGCTTTTTTTTTTAAAAGACTTGCTATGTTTCCTTTATGTTCTTCCTTCTCTTCCATTTTCCTTTCTTTCACTAGTTTTCTTCCATTAGCTATATACCCCAATATATTTTTCATCCCTTTTTTCCCCATTTCCTATACACTGTAGAAAGGAAAGTTTTATTGTTTTTTCTATTTTTATTTCTGTATCTTTCGAACTTGCTCCTTTCTCTGACTTTTTTGGTGTTCTTTCCATTTCTCTTCTCCCCTTAAATTTCACCATTCTTCTTTATCATCTTGCCTCTCAATCCCACCTCCTTTTTCTTCCTCTACATCATTCCACTCGCACTCATTGTCCTTGCCACAGGGGACACCCACACATGTATTCAACAAAAGGTGAATCCTCCTTCTACATCTAGAGTGCAGAGACATTCAGTTCAGTTTGCAAGCCAGGTGGCCTGATTAGTTCAGCCTGCTATACCTGGTTTAGTCTGAGACAAGAAAGAGTGAGCCAAGCCTCATTACATGCTCAGCATAGGTTCTGCCAGGACTGAGCCCTGGTCTACACTACGAGTTTAGGTCTAACTTAGGAGCGTTAGATCGATTTAATCCTGCACCCGTCCACACGACGAAGCCATTTTTGTCAACTTAAAGGGCTCTTAAAATCCATTTCTGTACTCCTCCCCGATGACAGGATTAGCGCTGAAATCGACATGGCTGGGTCGGATTTGGGGTAGTGTGGATGCAATTCGATGGTATTGGCCTCCGGGAGCTATCCCAGAGTGCTCCATTGTGACTGCTCTGGACAGCAATTTCAACTCACATGCACTAGCCAGGTACACAGCAAGAGCCCCAGGAACTTTTGAATTTCATTTCCTGTTTGGCTAGTGTGGTAAGCTCATCAGCACAGGTGACCATGCAGTCCCAGAATCACAAAAGAGCTCCAGCATGGACCAAACGGGAGGTACCGGATCTGATCGCTGTTTGGGGAGACAAATCCGTGCTATCAGAACTCCGTTCCAAAAGATGAAATGCCAAAACACAGGACTTTGGAGCAGAGCCCTGAGCTGGAGCGTGGACCAGTAGGTTTTTGCCCGCAGCTGGGAGTGGAGCCGGAGCAGAACAATTCAAAAATTTGATTGCTCCAAATCCCTGCCAAAATATTTGAAAAAATCTCCAAGGGCATGATGGACAGAGGCTACAACAGGGACCCGCAGTAGTGCCACGTGAAAATTAAGGAGCTCAGGCAAGCCTACTAAAAAACCAAAGAGGCAAACTGCCACTCCAGGTCAGAGCCCCAAACATGCTGCTTCTATGATGAGCTGCATGCAATTCTAGGGGGGACCCCTACCACTACCCCACCCCTGTCCGTGGACACCGGCAAGGGAGGAGTCTCATACAACAGGGATGAGGATTTTGGGAATCCCATTGCAGCAAAGCTATCCACTATGACCTGCACATTTCCCAGAGTCACTACCCTTGATAGCAGCAGCTCAGTGATTGCATTGGCTACTTGGATCACAGCAGCTCCCACAGTAGATTTACCCACTCCAAATTGATTCCTGACTGACCGGTAGCTGTCTGGCGTTGCAAGCTTCCAGAAGGTTATTGCCACTTCCTTCTCAACTGTGAGGGCTGCTCTCATCTTGGTATTCTTGCGCATCAGGGAAGGGCAAAGCAACTTCACAAAGTTCCATGAAAGTGCCCTTACACATGCGAAAGTTTTGCAGCCACCGGGAATCATCCCAGACCTGCAACACTATGTGGTCCCACCAGTCTGTGCTTGTTTCCCGGGCCCAGAATTGGCATTCCATGGCATGAACCTGCCCCATTACCACCATGATGTCCAAATTGCAGGATAATGCACAAGGTTTTTACAATGCTCACAACAGCAGCGGTGAGCTGAGCAGGCTCCATGCTTGCCGTGGTATGGAGTCTGAAGGAGAGCAGAAGAGCAGAGTTGCAGCGGAAGCGGTGGAGGATGACTGTTAGCACCACGCATATTTCCTGAGGAAGAACACACGTTTCTGGGAGCCCATGACAGACAACATGGAGAAATTCGCTACCGAGACACAAGCAGGAGAGCAGAGTTGCAGTGGAAGCGGTGGAGGACGACGGATGCCACGAGAATAGATAAAGAACAACGAGAGGACCTGCGAGGCGGATTCATGGTACCAGAAGAGCAGGAGAGTAGAGTTGCAGCGGAAGCGATGGTTGGATGACGATAGTTAGCAGTACTACTGCACCTTCTGCTGAAAGCAGTATGGCGTCTGCATGGAAAAAAGGCGCGAAACAATTGTCTGCCATTGCTTTCACGGAGGAAGGGGCGACTGACGACATGTACCCAAACCACCCACAACAATGTTTCTGCCCCATCAGGCATTGGGAGCTCAACCCAGAATTCCAATAGGCAGCAGAGACTGCGGGAACTGTGGGATAGTTACCCACAGTGCAACGCTCTGAAAGTAGACGCTAGCCATGGTACTGTGGACGCACTCTGCCAACTTAATGCGCTTAGTGGGGACACACACAATCAACTGTATAAAACTGCTTCCTAAAAATCGACTTCTATAAATTCAACCTAATTTTGTAGTATAGACATAACCTAAGAGTGGAGAAGAAAGGTGTGGCAGTAACTTAGGGAGCTGCAAGGAGGATATGGCAGAAGAGCCAGTGAGAGGGAACTGCAGCAACGAGTTTTTATATCCTCTCAGTAAAGCAACCTTAGACAATCATATGGTCTTGTATAAAGTGGAGATAGCCCGCAAACAGGGGGGGTGTCAACTCCTCAGGGGATTGCAAGGTGTTTACATGGGGATCACAAGCTGGACAGCCCCGAGCCCAGCCTTGAACAGAGTTGACAGCCCCAAGCTCCCGTTAAATTAAATAAATACAATTTCAATTAAACCTCCCTTCCCCCCATTTTTAATTTATAAGGGATGTCACACTCAGAGGCTTGCTGTGTGAAAGGGGTCAGCAATACAAAAAAGTCTGAGAACCACTAAGTCTAACCACTACACTATTCTACAAGTGGACATGAAAGAAAGTGACTTGAGATTGTGCTAAACCAGATAGCACTACCTAATCTGAACGGAGAAATTAAGAGCAACTGTAGTTTGTCATATCAGGATTAGATTTCACACAAATGACACTAACGAAATCCTTAGAAGGTTCTGCTTCAAAATCTGTAGCAAGATAATAAACTAATAATCCTGTAAATAGCACTTTTCCAACTTAAACCACTATAATATGATTTTAAAATGCAGCGAATTTTCTATTCAAGGGGAAAATAAACAGTCAAATTTAAGTTTCCTGGGAGGAAAAAGTTCTGTTGTGTGTTACAATGCATTTAATGTGACACTCCTATTCACCATATTGGTTCTATCTTAAAAACAAAGAAAGGAATATGTTTATACACAGAATGTGCCCTGAACCTTCCCAACAGGGAACCAAGTTTAAACACAATGGGCCAAATTTACTCCTAGTAATTATATAGTTAACTTCAACTGAATTACACCAAAGATGACTCTGGCTCAATGTTAGTTGACAGCTGGCTTTAAAAAACCTGGATCCTGAAACTGAAGAGTAAATCCACATCAATGTATGCCTCTGTTTTTACACATAAAATTTGAATATTCATAACAATCCAGAAATGGAATCATTAGCTGCTTTGCACTTCAAGTGTGATTTTTAAGTGTTGTATAGTTTGTTTTAGATAAACAACAAACCATACCCATCATCTGTTTAGAAATAAGGAAAAGTATGTTTGCTTTAGACACTGACAAACAAATTCAACAGATGGCCCTCACTGATCAGCTAACTGAAGTAACTAGAATACTTATGAATCCAGCAAAATAGATTTCCTTTATAACATTTTTCCTGTAAAAAAATTAGATTTGCACAGAAACATCAAAACCTGTGACATACTGTAGAATTATTAATATCTACAATATGTAAATTAATTCACTGGGCAACTAGAGGTTACTATATAACCTGATCATTTTGGTCCATATCATTTCTTTTCTGGCTGAAATGGTCTAACAGCAGATGCTACATTTTGATAAGATTCCCAATGAATGCACACAGTTCCTATGAATATTAGAAATGAAACTCACAGCTTTTCATCATGCAAAATATGTATGGCCTACATCATTTATAAGAATAATTATAACTCATGAAAGTATAACCTGAAACAACATAAGACATAACAGAAAATAGTCCAAACTAGATTTCTTTGCTAGATAAGACCCACCAAGAACTCTGCTGGTTTTAATATGATACCTGGGCCAACTGAAGTCAAGTATTTTCACACCAGCAAATCTGTTCACAGAGTCTTATTTTCACATTGAAAGATTAAAATTTTCAGAACGTGTACAGCCTGGCACATTGACTAGAGCTTTTGATGATCAATAGGCAAACTGGGTTTTTGCTCCTCCCCCAAGCTGACCATGTGTTAATAAGGGCTCCCTTTACTAAAGTATCAGCACATGTTATGATGTTGGTTGATAAGGGACCTGACAAAGAAACCTTCAAGAAAGTTCTTGGTGACTGTTTTATTAATTATGATCATAGACTTTAGAGAAATCTTCTTTTGATACCAGTGAGGTAGAAACAACTCATTTGGAGCACAAATTGAAAGACGAAGCCAAAGATCAAATGTACACAAGAAGTCAGATGAATGAAGATCTTGTAATCAGTGAATACTTTTCTAGTCAAGGCTGTCAGTCAACTTGCCTGAGCTTGCGGGTGTTTGCAGGGAGACACTATACTATCTTGAGGACTGAGGCTATGTCATCACTAGGGCTCCATATCTGTCATTGAGGTTGCAGAAGTAATGTTTCCGTGACTTTCCGCGACCTCCAAACTTCTGCAGTGGCCAGTGTGGGTGATCTCAGGGCCTCCCAAGCAGCTGGCTCCTGGTCCAGCTGCTCAGGTGGCCCTGGAGACAGCCACACCGGCTACTACTGGAGCCAGCCTCTCGGGCGGTCCCACAGCCAGCCGCACCGACCGCTGCTCAGATGGCCCCGGGCAGCTGGCCCCAGGACCGCCCAAGCAGCAAACAGTGCGGCTGGCCCAGGGGACTGCCAAGCAGCAGTCCCGGGGGCAGTCGGAGCTGCCGCTGCTTGGCGGTCCGTGGCAGTTGGTGCCACTGGCTTCACGCCTCCCCCACCCCCCCCAAACAGCACACACACACACCCCGTTTCCCCCAAGCAGTGCCCCCCAAGCAATTTTTGTTTCTTGCCAGTTACCTGTCCATTACTTTTACTAAAAATACCCATGACTAAATTGTAGCCTTAGTCATCACCTCTGTTTTTCAAATTAGTTTTTGCTTTCTTAATGCTGAGATAGCAGGATGAAAAATAATAAAGTACTTCCATAGTAGTCAACTCATCCAAAGCACTAAACAAAACACGAATTAGTCTTCCTAACACCCATGTTTAACAAGTAATTCCCATTTTACAGATGGAGATACTGAGTCAAAGATGTACTGCCACCTGCCCAAGGCCCCAAGGTGAGTCAGTGGAAGAAAGTCAACTTTGGTAAGCCTTTGAAAAAAAGTACACAGGATTCCAGTGGCTGGAAAGACTAAGGCAACTGGGAGATGAAGGCAGTTAGTCAGCTGATATCAGGGTACTTATTCTTATTGCTACTGAATTAACTTGGGGGGCAAAAGTCCTACGGACATTAATGACAAGCCTTTATCATACGGCTTTTAAAATGCCTTTGGGCTGTTTTGAGGTCTTAGAGAAAGCTCCTTGCCAGCAACTCCTTTCGCATGTTTTTCAATCAGAATACAAGTCTTCTAGAGAGGTATTATAAATTAAATCAAATCTCTTTTGGAGTGCTGCATACATTTTTCAAGTAAACACCACCTTCTACAGAAACAAATCACTTGCTGAAGGTAACTAGTGCTACATCATTTTGTAGTCACTGCCTACCTCCCCAAATACCAGGTTTGTTTTTAAATGCTTGTAAAAGGTTCTCTAGTCCTGTGGAATTATTAGCATCCCTCAACATATACTTAATTTGAACCATTTTCTTAATGCCTGTATACAAATTATCACCACTCTGATTATCCACTAGGCATAGGATCATTGTACTAAAATTATGTTCGTTATACTTAAAGAGTACGAGAACCCTAGAGATAAGCCTGAAAGTGAAACATAGCTTCTTGAATAATAATTGCTTTGCACTGGCTCCCATAAGTAGAAAGAAAAATGACTGCACTTCACTGCAGTAGTTTCAGAACCTTCTCTGGGGTTGTTTGTCCAAGAAACAGATAAAGAATGGGGAAAAAAATTACACTTCCTTTTTGGTCCATACATAAAACCCACAGCTTTTCACTGGAGGGTCTGCACAGTAGATAAGGAACAATTACCTGGCATCCCAACAGTTATCTGTGTTGCAACATAAGTATTTGCATCCCTTTCTATTTTGCTCTCTCTTATCTGTCTTTTCAAGGCCAAGGGGAGATAGAACATAGTCTCCCACTTAACTCATCTGTTGCAAGGCTGGGGCATAAAATGATTATTGGGGAATAAGCTGTGAAGGCATGAGACAAAACATTCTTAGTTCTCGTTGGCCCATTTGTCTCATAATAAGAAAGGAAAGGACTTTCCTGTTCATGGATAGATGGATTCTAATTTTTAAAATTTCAATATTTTAAAATTCAACATTTTGTCAGGTTATTTGCACTGCATTCACTGCCACAGAAGCTAAGTACCTTCATAAGAAAAATAAATTAAGGAGTACTTAATCATATGACATCTCCAAACCTGATGTTTCAAAAGAAAAAATAGCAATATTAAAAGCTCAAAATCTAAATAAGTTGTCAAAATATGAAACAAGAAAAGCACATTTAAAACTATTTTCTACAATCACATTATTTTCCGCAACTGTCTGCATGCCATCCTTCAGTTTTGTTTGATAAGGGCTTTAGTTATAGGACAATACCTATACAGAAATAAAGAAAGAATATTTACTTTCAATTTATGATGTTGAGCCATGTTTTAAAAAAAAAAATCAGAAAAATGCTCAATACAAAAATGACTATTATATGAATAAAGCAATAAAACAGCAACATGATGGGGGAGGGCAGGGAGACATCTTTCTACTTAACACAAACCTTTTTGCAGAGTCCAGAATTTCTACACCAATTACACTATTTTCTATTGTGTAAGTTCGTCGATTAGGACAATTACTTTTTTTCTACATTTTTTCCCAGTGTAAACGTTATTAAAACCTCCAAATTAGTGTTGTATTATGTTAG